AAAAAAATTGTCACAAAAAAAAAAGTTAAAAGTATTTTCATGTTGAGAGTTTTACAACCCGATTACAATGCATTCCTTGAATTTTTCCTGCTCGTCATCATCATCAATGTCATCATGGGGTTTTCGTCTGCTTACATTAATTTGTCATTTTTTGTATTGACGAGAAATTGGAGAAGGAAGAAAATGTTGTAAATGATGCTTGACACTGAAAGTAGCTTATTTGTTTCTAAGGAAGGCAAATTTATTTCGCGATTATTTACTCAAAATGCTGGAGAGGTAGTGCTTATTTTGGCATTCAGAGCGAGAAACAAAGGTTGTCGACATCATTCAATGAATAATTCTCTAAAATTTGGACTGTATCTAAATGGTTCTTAGAGTTGGAAAGGTGTGGTGGGTGGGAGGGGGGGATTGTAAACACAAATGCGCTCCAAACAGCAGAAGCCTCATAATTTTCTAATGAATTTCCTTTTGGAGTCGTTCACTTATGACGTCCAAGATTCAGGAGAGAGGGGGTTTAGGATTCTGTGACACAATGTGACATGGGAGGGGGGTCAGGAAATTTGTCATCATAATTTTTTACGATAAATTTGGAGGGTCTGGCATCTGTGACAGTTTTGTGAAAAAAGAGGGAAGGAAAGGGGTCTTGTTTTTTATGGACGCCACAAGAGAATGACCCCCTTCGCTTCACATTTTTTGCATGAAAAATATTTTTAAGTAAAATCAACATTTTGTTTTTCTATCTCCACCACCCACAAGTTATTTATGTTTTTAGGACAAAGAGAACCAAATATTATTAAAAAAATATTTTTATTGAGAGCTTTACGCAAACGAATGAGAAAATAAAAATTGTTCAATGTATCAAATCATTCTCATTCTCACTGGAAAATGAGGAACAAAAAAAAAGCGAGAATAAAAAAATGAAACAAAATAACAAGCTGACCAAGGAAAACTTTTAATAAAATTTATGTCTTCATATCAAGGAACTTTTTAGTTGAAATTTTCTTTCGTTTTGCTTCATTTCCACTCAACAATGAAGAATAACTTTTTATTCTGTTTGTGTGATTTTCCTTGTTGGACGAAAATTGTCTAAGACTGTTTCACAATTAGTAAGGTGTCGGTTTGTAGGGAGTGAATTAAGCGCATTTTTTCATTGACTTTTTGGAATTGTTTGAAATTTAAAATGAATATTTTTCTAATTGTTGGACAAAGGAGCTTAAAGGTATGGTTGATTTGGAGTCATTCATAAATGATGTTCAACATGTAAGTGATGGATTCTAAAGCTTTGTGAAAACTTTACTCTTTTACTTAAATGATTACTAAATTAACAGATATTGGAAATAAAGCTATATGATTCAAAAAGTGATTACAAAAGCTGGTGACCTTTTTGCGTTTTATTATAGAGTCAAATGACTTTACTTGACTCAGCAATAATAAACAAAGTCTCTAAATCTAAAAAAGAAGTAGGTTCGTGCTTAATAATACAACTAGATTTAAGATGATTCTTAGTTTTTTGTGGATTAAGTTGATATTTGAATATTTTAATCTTTATCATCCTACAGATGTTAAAAACCCTTGCCAAGTCATTCTATTTATCTGCAACATGTTCATTTCCATTCAATTTTGTGATAAGTGATATAATGTGACATTAGAACCACCACCCACTAACTTTCAAAGGAGGTAAGAGTATCTATTCATTTTACCTAAAATAATGGAGGATGAAGAAAGGTTAATGAACACTTATTATGATTACAGGTCGATGATCCAACAGACAACCTTAACAACATTGACAAAATAAAGTCAATTTGCAATTTTCACCAAAGAAAAATCCATTAAAAACAAAATAAAGCTACAAAAAAAAATTGAGTCGCAAAAGCTTTCATCTGTTCCCATCTTTTGCGTAAATAATTGAATCAAATGTCGAAAATCCACTCCGTTATTTCTTATTCCACAATATCTACTCTTCAAAAGACACTTGGAAACACACAAAAAGCGAAATATTTGATTTTGCTTTATTGCTCAATAGTGAAAAAGAAGACATTGAAAGTCATCGATGAAAGGCAATCCACTTGATCAAAAATGTAATACAAAAAGGCAATTTTACGTTCAGGGTGTGCAAAAGTTTTCTATACCAAAGATTACAGCAGAAAAGTTGTATTTTTGGGGGCTCAAGTTCTGAGAAACGTTATGTCTCTAATGATCAATTTGGGAAATTTCAGTCAACTTTTCGTTTAACTTATTTTTTTTTAAAAAAAATCTTCTTAAATTAAAAATTAAGGAAAAGTTTTCTTTTCGACAAAAATCAACACACAAAATAAAATTTAATTTCCGAGTTCCTCAAAGCGAATTATTTCAATGGAAAAACGAAAATCTTCTTCAGTACATTACTTTTTTAATTACATACATTCGCAGAAAATCAAATCTCGTAGCTTCAAATTTGATTGCTTTGAAAATTGAACAAATAAATTTTAAAATGAGCTTCTAGGTATTTAATATTGAAATTTTCAAGGTCTCGTTTAATTTGATTGTTATGCTATCGAGTCGTTCGAATATGGAGTTTGCGTTTTAAGGGGAAGAACGTGTCTTAGGGTTTTGGCATGTCAAGAGAGAATTTTAAAGACTGCCCTCCACAATCTGGGTTCCTTAACTCCAAGTTAAGAGTATAAGATGTCAATGAAACATTTAAAACTGATTGCAACTGTTTGTACACATCCTCGCACCCCCTCAAAAAAGGAATTTATGGAGAACAAACGAAAAAAAAACAATATTAATCAAAAATACTTCATAAAATCAAAATAAATCTCAATTCCAATAAATCCACGATCCATTCTTCTAGTCATTGAATATTCTATCTTATCAATTGTTTAAAAACAGCAAATTCCTTCAAAATGTGCTCCAAATAATTCATCAATTTAATGCAAAAAAAATATTTATTGATCAATTTTTCATATTGCCATCCCTGCACAGTTGTGGGAATTTACAATTCATTAGTTTTCATTTTACACCGAGTTTTTTGTGTCTCTTTTTACTCACTTTCTTGCCTTTCAATTTCTCGTGTACTTAGTTCTGAGCGATATTGAAACAAAGTGAGCGACAACGACAAAGAATAAAAGGTGCAAATGAAATAAAAGAGAGGCAATGCGGAAACTAACAAAATCAAATAAATGGGTTAGGCAAACACAGAAATAAAAGTGTTTTTAAGATGAAGGAACTAGAAGAAAGGCATAAGCACAAGAGAAATCAAAGTGTGTAATAAAACATCAAGGAGAAAAAAAAGAAGTCAACATGAGAAGAAGAAAAGTAGCAACGCTGTATATAATGCAGGAAGAAAGGAACGAGACGATAAGTCAATAAAAGAATCGCGCCTTTCATGCTCTAAATATTTATTTATCTTCATAAATCATATTATGATGAAATGAAATTTTTCATTTTTCATCATCAGCAGGAAATGTTCATAAATAATATTATTTTTTATGCCTTCTTGCACCTTTAATACATAAGGGCTTAATTTCATCGATATTGAAGAATATTTTGTTACTTTTTTCGATATGTCTTGTCACTGGGATGTCCATCCAATCGATAACAAGATCAAAAGCTGTTTGGGTTGTTTTGAGGTTATTTGTGTAAAATATTAGGAGGGGTGAGGGGGGAGGGGGTGCAACGTTGTGATTTTTTTGTGAAAGCATAGAAAAATTTATCAAAGTTCCTGTTGGTTGTAACCCGAATCTAATGAGCAATTGGAAAAAAAATTTGGAATCGCCCTTGAATTGATCAGAATCAGCGTTTTAGGCCGTGCTCTTGCTGCGGTTTAAAATGTTTAAGGGGGGGACAAGACCCTCCTGGCTACGCACCTGATCAGAGTAGCTAAATTGTAGCCAACAATTTGAAATTTTCTCTACATAAAAGCCACAAGCAGCCACACAAATTCTTTTCAACTTCTGTGTTTATAAAGCTAATTACAAAACTCTTATTAAATTCCAAATAGTTCCTGATTAAGGAGCATTGCAGTCCATAGTCACCAGCCATGTCATTGTGTGTTTTAAGAATATAATGAAGCAACCTCATCTGGATCAAGTAAGTAAGTAAGTAACCTCATCTAGACATCCCATAAAATTATGAGAAAAAGAATAAATATTGGACAATATTAGCAATCAAGTGACGTGAGACGTATATTAAAAACATGCCCCATCAACATCAATTTATGTCTCTTGCCTAGCACAAGTCAATACCTGTGATCGACTTGACATAGATAATTTGATGATAGAGTTTTACGATAACAGATTGCTTCGCTTACATTGTTTTCCTATATACAATATGTTCATGTATAAATATTAGACATCACGTGAAAGCAATGAGGTTGATTTCCCCTCACTTCCAATGGATTTCAGTGCGCATGTCTTCAGCACATTATGATAATGCAGCAAAAGGATATTTTTGTATGTTTCACATTTCATTCTTTTCATCAGTCGAGATTTCGTTGCGGAATAATGTAGACATAAAAGATATTTAATCGTAGATTTAACATTCATCCCCTAATGGGCATTCAAAAATAAATAAAAATAAAAAAGGACATTAATGCTTTAGTAAGAAGAAGTGCGATTTCCTGAAAATTAGAAAGGAGGAGTGATGTCGATAGAATAATGACCCGGTTGAATAAATTTAACTACATTACATAAAATAAATAAAGTGGATCAAAAAAGAAACTTATAAAAAAATAACTAAATAGTGATAAAGTGAAAAGCTAGTGAAATGTGGAAATAAAATCATGTCACATGCACAAATGCTGTAGAATAAAATTTATATTTCATTTACAATGCATGTGAATGGCAAAAAGGAAGGAATGCCTTCAATGTAAATTCTCATTATCATACAAAATAAAAAGATCTGAAATGATGCAAAAAAGTGGGGGAAATTTTTTTGTATTTAAAAGAATTTGAGTGAATGAAAAAAAATGTAATTTAATTTTTTAATCGCAATCATAGTGTGAGTAATATAAAGTCATAAAAATTCTTGTGTGGGAATCAGTGTAATAAAAAAAAAGAAAAAAAAAGAAAAAAAAGGCAAAAAGAAAGAAAAAGCAGATTCCAATGGTGGATTTAAAATAAAATGTGGCTTCAAAAATTATTCATAATCTATCTACTTACACTTTTCAATTCAATGGACGGATACTTTTTGGATAATCAAATACAAAGCACAGGACGTCATCGGCGGAAAGGTGTGTGTTTTTTTTTTGTTTGTTCTTTTGCTTACTTGTGTTTTCATGCCTCTTACCTCCTCGACACTTACTAATTAAAACATTTTTCTTTCCTTCTCTTGCTCATGAAAAATACAAACAAACTTGTGCGACTATGTTACTGTAAAAAGTGCCAGGCTATCCTATTTATTATACTTTTCTGCTTCCTTTCTTTATTTCTCCATCCTGCAACCCTTCTCATTGTTGTTACTGACCGCATACCTTACTCATTCGTTTTGTGAGTTATCCATTGGGAACATTTTGGCAGAATTATTTTTGGTGCTCGTGCAGAACGAGTTGGCGTTGATGTGGATGTGTTATTTTTGGGCGAATTCATTTTTATTATGACTGAAATTGTGAAACTTTCAATTACTTTTTATTATCCACACACGCGTGAATTATTTTAAATTCAAAGTATCTTTTTCTTCTGCTTCTTGCGACTTTGCTGAACTTGGAATCGTGAAAAGATCAAAAGTACTTAACGAGAGCTTAAAATTTTTTGAAGTTTTTTGAACTAAAGTTTTCTTTTTACTGATGAAAAGAAAGCTTGAGAAGTGACGACATGATTGTTATATTTAAAATTGAATGTCTTATACAGCACTTAAGTTGTCGTGAATTTTATGTTTTCAAATGTTTAAATAGTTGATGTGGTTCATGAAAATTAAAAGAATTAAAAAGTTTTATAGATTTTTTTTTGAAAAACTTTAAATCATTGGTTTATAAAAACCAAAAAAAATAAATTTCTCAAATTTATGAATTTTATTTTTTAAACAAAGTTCCGTAATTTGAGCTTCCACAACATCAAAAACGGAGTTGTGAAAGTTAAAAAAAATTCTGATCCATTCCATTTTATTTACTTAAATTCATGAAAAATGGGAAAATTGAAAAACTAAAATGTGAAGACGAGAAATCGCTTACATAATTTGATGTTAAAGATCTTACTAGTTTAATTGGAGAAAGGCTTTCCCAATTTCCTAATACCGAGTTTTTCGAGAGCAAAATCAAAAATTTTTTGACGCTCGCTTTTTGAAGGTTCCAAAATTAAATTGTTTTCTATTAAGACTCTCGTCATTTAAACACAAAATAATTGAAAATCTTTCGTTGGCACAAATGTTATTCAAGTTTTAATTTTGTTCACCATCCCGGAAATTTTGAAAAAAACGAGATATCAGGAAAGCCTAATTGGAGCATATATCAAAATTCAAAGAAAATTCTTCGGTTTTCTAATGTCGGATTAATTCTAAAAGATTTTAAACTTTAATTTTTAATTTTGTTTCAATTTTTTTAAAAAAATATTCAACAATATCCAAATGATTCTTCTCCAACTCTTCTTTAGCCCAAATGATAAGAAAGTTTACAAAAGCTTAATACTACATGACAATAGAAAACCAGTTCCTATTATCAAAATCAATCATTCTGTTAAAATTCCAAAAATAGTTAAAACTTATGACTTTCAAATTTTCATCCCAAATGTCATCCTAAGGGTCTTTCCCCGTTAATTTACCTTTCTCTTTTCTTTTCTCTTCTTCTGAACGTAAAAATAATTGAAAACTTTAACATATAAATTTCATCGAGGCAAAAAAAAGCCTTCAGTTGAGGGCACAGCAATTTAAATTCTTTCAATTCATGAACGTGCCTCGCCATTATTTTTATTTTCAAAAGAGAAGAAAAATTCGTGACTGCAAACCTACAAATTTATTTTTTATTTTTGCCAGTATGAATGCAAGTTTAATGTTTCCGATTGAGAGGAAAAGGCATTAATCAATTATGCACACATACAATAACGTAAATAGTTCTAGTTTTTCTCAAATAATTATGGATATTTTTAACTCACATGCTATATTTAGGACTGGATACTCCTTAAAATTAGGTTTTAAAACTTAAGCAAATTTATTTTGAACATTTCACAGAAAAAGCTAATTTAAAACAATTTAAGAATTAAACCCTCGCTTTTACATTTTCCGATCAAATGCTCTTAACAGGACTGCCTGTAAAGTAAGCAGAATACCAATCTAAACCATTATTCTGCTCTTAACAGTGTTTTAAGGTCTATCGTTGATACAGCTATACTCGTGACCCACCAACACTCTTTTTAATCTCAACAAAAGATATGAAATTCTCCCAGCAATTTTTGTGACCTTTTAAAATTATTTTTTTGTGGCTTTTCAAAAAAAAAACAAAAATTCAAACGAGGTTTTTGAGGTGAAGCAAAAAAAATTAAATAAAAAGAAACTTAAGGACAGGATTTAAATATTTGAAAAGTACAGCATTGTTTTTTGTGTGTGTATGTGTATTTATTCAACCTCGATATGACATATCATACAACACCGCATAATCCCAATAGCTCATTTATACAGGCCAAAGGTGTTTTCATTTCCACAAAGGCCATAAAATCCACAAACAGCACAAGAGCTTTTTACGCCTTCAAAAGTGTATACAAAGTACAAGGATTCACATAAATATGTTTAAAGCCTTCATACATTTGCTGTGTGTGTGTGTGTGTGTTTATCTATAGCAAATATTTTCTTCTTTCAACTGTGCCTCTTATCTCACATATAACATTTTTATGGATAGCATTAGGAATCATGAATATAATAGAGGGAGAGAAAAGGTGCTTTCGAATAGGAAAACTGACGTTTATCTTTAAAATAGTAATATCCCGAGACTGCTGGAGATTTTTTTTCATCCTGGCAAAAAAAAAAAATCAGCCATTTCCGTTCCTTCATTTACTTTCATCAACAAATTTCCTCGATATAAAGCCCAGCATAAATATTTTAGGGTGTACATTGGATTCGGGACGGGTAATTTTAAGGATGAAAATTGAGACAATTTAGACATAACACGTTTCCTATGGATTTGAGAAATTTGAGACGTCTTAGAATTTTTCTTCGAGTGTGGGCTTAGCATCTGATTAAATTTCCTTCAATCTTGGATATCGACAGTAATATGAGGATTTTTGGTGAAATTGCTGTTCTGATGATTTTGATCCATTATTGATTAAGACTTCAAGACTCCAGAAATTGATATCAATTACTGTGCTAATGCCATTATTGGATGCTTTTAAAAAAGTTTAGGAAAGGTTTAGTAAGATGAAAGTTTGTTTTGAAAGAATTTGAGGAAATTGATTCAATTGGTTATGGAGGTAGATTGTGCTTTTAGAATTACTTGATGATTTACTGATGGTAAATTTGGAACTATTTTGATTATTTTATTTAAGAAAATCTAGAATTGAAGTTAAAGTTAATTGACATATTCAAATTGAGTTGACATACTCGAGGTTGGGCGAGTAGTTTGGCAGGAGGTTAGAAATTTGAAACCCTTTAATTTGTAAAGACGAAAGTTTGATTCCAACAAGAAGATTATCTTTCAATAATTGCTTAAAAGACTGTGGCTATTAGCAAAGCCAGAATTAAGTCCCAACTCGTGTAGCTTTCCATCAAAATTATTGTTTCTCTGGTGACATCACTATACATAATTTTTAAACTTAGTATTTGTTTTCTTGAGTTCAAATCTCTTTTCATCGAATAAATTGAACCCCAAGAACCCCCAAACAATATCAAATTGGATGCACGAGGTGATGTATTATACAATCTGTAGACATATAAGTAAGCACAGTGAAAATGTCGGTAGATTTTTACATTTAAGAACACGAAAATGTGTTGAATAAATAAATAGACAATGCGGCAATGGCAACAAAAGTATGAAAATATAAGAGAAGAGATTCTATGAAATATGTAGCCTAAATGCGTATCATTTATATCACAAGCTTCATATACGGATTTTCATTCCGTCTTCTTCTGTTTTTCTTTTGTAAGATTATCAGCATAAAAAGTAGGAAAAAAGTAGGAAAAAAGTTTTCTTCTCTTTCTATACTTTTATGCTTCTTTTTTTCACCGTTTTTACATAAATATTTATGTTCCGAAAAAATATGCTCGGCTGGTTTTTATTTTTCTTTTTCCTTTTCATTTCCTGATTCTCTTCTTCTTCTTTTATCTCAAACAACCCATTGGAAAAAGTGCAAATTTTGATTCAAAATGTTTCTAAACTTGGTTACAGAATTAAAGCAAAGCTCGGATAGTACATTTAAACAAAGCTTTGATTCAGAATAGACAAAAATCTTTGGAAAATTAAAAACAATTGGATTTGAAAAAAGCTTTGTAAATTACAAATATTTTATGATTTTATAATGAAAGATATGAAAATTTTATTTTTTTACACAAAAAAGCTTTTGCAAACTTTGTTCAGCTATTCATCTGTTAATTACAAACTTAACATGCATTTAACGATTTTAATATGAAAGCTTAAAAGCTCATAATTAACAGATTAATGCCTCAAAGCTATGTGCTGCTGAAAAGAATGCTGAATTAAATACAGTTCATAGCTTTTACATAAAATCTGATTTTTTTTAAACTTTTTTCAACAATATATCCCTGGCATTGTCTTTAGAAAAGCGTCAAAATTTACCTTTCGAAGGGCTTGCCTAGCCAAAGGCAATGCCTAGAAATAGTTAACATTTTTAACCTTCGCCTAGGCACTACCTATCGTAGACATGAATTTGACTAGGTAAAACCTTTATTAGATTTGTTATGTGCCTATTTTTGTTTGAAAAATTTCGCAAAAAATAGGCAACTACTTGATTCTATCAGGTGCCCAATCATAGGCAAAATTAATGACTTTTGTCTAGAAAAAGGCATGCTTAAGACAGACAGTGCCTAGGCATAGGCAAAATATGTTGCTTTTTTCTAAACAGTGGCTTTGGCTAGGTATTGTCGTTGACCAGGCACATTATTTTGTCTTCGGCTAGCCATGCCTACACAAAGGTGTTACCTGGACAAAGATAACAGCTGCCATTCTCTGCTGAGGCACCTTTTCAAAGAAACCAATCTTACAACTCTGACCATATTAATCCAATTTTACTATTTTTGATGAAAAAGGATTTTGTCATCCTTAGATAATAACTTTCTTCCTTGATAGAGTTTATT